TTATGCACACTTTCAAGTTCTGCCGAACTCTTCATCAGAAAAGATGTTCAACAAAGAAAAGGACCTGGGTGATTTGATGATGCTTGAAGCCACGGAGTTTGCATTTCGCCCTAATTACAATTTTAATGTAGAAAGGGAGGGGAAGTTAGACATCCATTAGACCAGATCACCTACTCGGATGGTTTCCGAACACTCGCAATGTTTATTGGAGATAAGAAAAAATGATTAACAGTTGATTCCACATTTCTGAAAATGCTGTATTTAATATTTTCAAAACAAGACATCAAAATTTATGTTAGTTCTTCCCAGTACAGTAATCCCTAAAACAGTCATAAGTACAATCCTGAACTTCCATGAACTTTGGATTGGTGTAAAACACAGTACCCCGATATGGATTTTGACCCCCACCTTTTGTTTGGCTAACATGGTTGATTTCTCTTTCTTGTTGAAGCTGAACTTGTTGAGCAGGACTTTTGCTTTCTCAAAACTTGGGCCTTCCCCCTGCTTGTTAACACATGGCATCTATCTGCAATGCCTCTCATGCGACCTTTGCTTTGGAATATGTTTATTAAAATTTTACAAAACAGTCCAACACAGATACTAGTTATTTATTTAGGTCTTCTAGTAGAACTGGGAAACTCTCAACCCAAAAAGAGCACCTGGCTTCTTCATTTTGCTCGTCTCTTCTTCAGAGCCTTTCCCTTCCTTTGTTACCACGGGAGGAGTTGGCGAGGGCAGCTGGCATCCTTTTTCCTTTGGACAAGAACCTCTCCCACCCTCTTTTTCTCTTTTGCCATTCTCTCTTTCTCCCTCCCTGTTAGGTCTGCCTAGCGCGTTGGCGAAAGTACAGCGGTGCCTCGCTAGACAGTTACCCCGCATGACAGTTTTTTCGCTAGACATTGGCTTCTTGCGATCTCTATAGCGATTCGCAAAACAGTGATTCCTATGGGGGAATTTCGCTGGACAATGTCTCTGCTTCGCAAACCGATTTTCGCTAGACAACGATTTTGACAGCTTCCTCTACGCTTGCAAAACAGGTGTTTTTGGGACCTAAGATTCACAAGACAGCAATTTAAACAGCTGATCGGCGGTTCGCAAAGCGACTTTCCTATGGCCGATCTTCGGTAGACAACGATTCTTCCCCACTGGAATGCGTTAAACAGGTTTCAATGCTTTCCAAAGGGGAAATGCTTTTCGCTAGACAATGATTTAGCTAAACAGCGATTTCAGTGGAACGGATTATCATCGTCTAGCGAGGCACCACTGTAAAGGAACAGAGGAGACAACGTGCTGTCACCCTTTGAAAGGGCACTGTGGTGCATCAAAATCTACTCTTTCAGACACTGACTGGGCAAATGCGTTTCCCTTTTTTTTATTCCATGGTGATGAGACGGATCTCCAAGTGAGGCTACAGATAACAAAGTGGCAGTGATTCCTGAACACATTAACCGGACGATCAAGCTGTTAATGAACAAGTGCCTAGCCTGGGAGTTAAGCCAGGTAGACCAGACCTGAATAAACCTGGGCGATTTGGAAACGGTCCAGGGGGAAAACCCAAAATCTGCGTCTGTCAAAAAGGAGGGAGGGAGGGAAGGCAGGAAGAACGGGAAACCAGAAAGGAACGAGGGAATAAATAGGGCCGAGCGGAGGCTGCCAGCGCGCCAAGGGAACTCCCGGGAGACGCCTGCAGTTGTCCCGGGAAGGCGAGGGCGCGTGCGCGCACCCCGGGCCCGGCATTAACGCTTTAGCGCCCCGCCTGGC